GGAAGAAAATGGGCCCTTGACTCCAGAGGACAGCTTTAGGGAAGGTCTGGGGAGGGTGGTTTTAATTATTATTTTTGCTGGTGAAAGATGACAGCATCCACACTGATCAGCCGAGTTGCTGAAAGGGGTAAAAAAAAAAAAAAGACTGCAGCAGATTTTGGGTGGTAGCAGATGAGCCACTTAAAATGGGGCACATGATCCCCTTCCCCCTCCCCCTTCCCAGCACGTCTCCATCTAGGATCTGGCTTGATATTTCTCCAGGAGCCTCGCTGCACACCATCAAGGCAGAGGGAAACAGACATTTCACCAGCACATGCATTTCCAATATATAAAACCCCTGCTATCCATTTATAAACCGAGCCTCGTTTTACCCAATTGAATACATCCAGGCATTCATTCTGCACCCAGCCGAGAAAAGGGCATTTACCTCTTTGCTAGGTGGCTATTAATATGCAGTAAAATTATAGCTGTACAACGCCAAATGTAATTGCCATAGATGATTTAGAGCAGATCCAGCAATTCAGCTGCTGGAAATGCATGTTCTGTGAATAACCATGCATCTGGTACAATGCCCTCTACTACAATAACCTGAAAGGAGACAGAAGTGTCTGGTACTAGCTGCAATTAGTAATCCTACAGATGAAAAATAAACAGTCAATGAGTACAAAGCAGCAAGGTCCTGTGAAATATAGTGATCATTTCTGTCTACAGCGATACAAATAACCCAACTCCCACAGACAGACAATTCTTATTTAAAATATACAGTTAAAAATGCACTTCTTTCATTATGTACTTTCAGAAAGTCCTTGTTACAAAAGACAGTTTGCCACAATTAACACATGTAGAAGAACTCGTGTACCAGTCAAACACAGACAAATATACAGAAGGCTGGGAGGGAAACATTTGCTTTAGTAGGTATTATCCTGGCACCCCTGGAATCCCGCTTTCCCCTCAGAAGCGAACACCTGCTTTTACCAGGGACCGCTGACTGGAATCGGGCTGGAAGAATACGGTGAGCAATGAACCACAACAGGGTGTGCATTAGCAGGCTCCTGGTGCACGCCTCAAGTGATCAGAGGCATTCAGCCAGGCACACCAAAACCTGTTCTGCTAATGCACCTCCTGATGTGGCTTACTCCTAGAATGGTTGCATGTGGCTCCCTCTACTTTTAATGTCATTGCTTAACATTTCCCCACACTGTGTGCTACAAGTTGCATCTGAAAGCAAAAAGACTGGCAGAAAGGCTGTAAATGGCACTTACACTGAAGTGTGCTACAGCTGGCGACAGGGGAAGGACCAGTTCTTTGCTTTTGAAGTGTTTCTTTCAGCCATCCGAAGTTCATTTTCCAAAATGGCTATCAAAACTATTGTGAACATGCACTGAAAAGCCACGGACCTCACCTGGCTGCTGCACATCCTCCCCTCCCTCCCAGGCAGGCTACCCAGCTAAGGGGGAGAAGGAAGGCTGCATCGGGACTTTAAAGCAGTACTCACTCATGCCTTCACTAGAGAGCTTGTAACTCATCTGCATGAGTAGGAAAGTGGGTGAGGGGAGTGAATGTTTCAAAATCTTACCCCAGTCACCAGACACAATGAACATGTAAAACAGCCACACGTCCACAGCTTGTCTCCCACCGTTGGGATACTGGAGTGTCTTCAGAGTGGGAAGCCTTGAAGCTATATGTGAGATCTGTAAGTAGATAAAAAATCATCCAAGCTGTAGTCCTGGTGGTTCACTCCACCCTCTCCCTGTGTGGCCGGATGTGCTTGGGGCAAGTTACCAAATGCTGAAAGATGCCAGCTACAGCAACAACAAAGGAAATACTCAGAAAAAAATCCCAGTATCACCCCAGTATCATGCAAGCTAGTATTTCAGCTCAGAATGGTGAGCAGCATCAAGCATAACATGTGCAAAGAGGTGAAATTGCCTCCCTTCGTTGAGAAGTCACCTCAGACCATCTTGATCAGATATGAGTCTAACGGAATATGCATCCCACATCCCCTCTTCAGGACTTTGCAGAAAGAAAAATCACAATCATTGCACAATCACAATATCTAAGAGGTGGGGAACCATGGCAATGGTTTCCTGCTGCCTGTGCTGATTTGTAAACATGCACAGGGATAACTGTCCATTTAAGCCTCATGGAAGTCAGCAGAAGCTGTGTGTTTAACCAGAGGCAGAATCCGATAAACTCTTAGACTTCTGACTCCTTTTCCTGTCTGTTGTGTAGCCAGACTTCGGGGGTAATCGAGGAAAAAAAAAAAAAGACACAAGACCTACTTCTCCAAGTACTTTCTTGAATAAAGCTTTTAATTAACCCCCAGCGCATGCTTTCTAGGACTCTGGTCTTGCAAAGTGCCTTTGTGCAATAGGACCACCCTACAGCAGTGAAGCACACGTGCGCTATACGTACACAAAATTCCAATAGGCAACACCAAACTCTTCAGCTCAAGGTATTTTTGAAGCATGACAACAGATTATATTACTTGTTCACTGCAAGCACACTTTCTAACTATGTTATCTCAATTTCACTTAGAAATCAAGAAAACCTGACTGGGCTCTCAAAAACCGACATCAGATTGGAAGTATGTGAAGTCGGACAAACATACAGAGCTTCATGCAGTTCTGCAGTTACAGGAGATTCCTGTAATAGAAGGCATGCAGTGTTACTTAATAGATTAGTAAAAGCTTGCATGACTGGTTGCACATTTCTTCTGCCTCTAGTCATTTTTCAGTGAAACAGAGCTAGCATATAAAGTCTATTGTGTTTTGGAGTTATGGAATGATTCAGATTGAGCCACAACAGCATGATAAGCTGTTTATGTATTTTATCATAATCTTCTGTAAAAGAGATCAGTCTTAGGGGTTTTTTTTATTTTTAAACTTTTTTCCATTTTTATGTCCTACGTGTTACAAACAAATTAATCATGCATAATTTGCAGATGGACTTAAAAATACTGCACTTCTCTTTAAAATGGCACTTTACAATATGTAAATATAGCCAAATTGCTCTAGTTTCAAACAGTTCTCAGGAAGAGATGAAATATTTATTCCAGCTACAACATCATAAGTAATGGAAAATTAACCAAGAAATTTGCATACAGCTTGTACTGGTAGCTCAGATTTGATTAAAAAAATGAAGCTTTATGCTATTCCTGCTGAAGTCAGTGAGAATTTTGCAATGGACTTCATTAGGATTAAGACCAGGTACCTAAATCTAAGACTCTCTCTTTGGAGGAAGATCAATGAACAACCCTTTAAAAATATAATCTATTGCTAGAGGGGCTGAGGAAGGGGTTTTTTTCCCCACTAAAAGCAAAGCATCATTTCTTTGCATTTGACATTTCAAATCCCCTCTTAGTTTCTTTTAGAAATCCCAAAGTGTTCGTTGTGCTGTATCTGTGTATCTTGAAAAGGATATTCCAGTGTGGTGTTCCTCACCCCACAAAAAAAAAAAGTCATCTGATCCCCCCTAAGACCAGAAACTGCAGTTCCTGCTCAGCTGTGACTCTCAAAAGAAAATGAGCAGGAATTTGAACTCTAGCTTTGACAGCTGGCACTGGTGCAAATGGTCTCTCCTGTTGTAGCCTTTTCCTTAATTTATGTTTATAGGCAGGAGGACCAGGGGACTTTCAGGTCACAGCGTTGGAGGGACAGTGGACTGTTCCATGGGCTAAAGGGTGGCTGGCAACTCAAAAAGGATGATCCAAAGTAAGCCAAAGGCCGCATAGAGGGCTCACCCCAGCACCCTTCTGACTCAGTCATATTGCAGGCAACGTTCAAAGAGCTATGACAGGTTGAGAAATTCAGGCAGCAGGCAGCTCTCAGCTGCTCTGGACAGAAGCACATCTCTGATGTAGGAACTTAGCACTGCGGTATTTTTTTTATAATATATGTGTGGCATGCACATTAGGGCAAAGAGACAAAACACGCAGTGGTGAGTAAGAGAAAGAGCAGTAAGAAAAGAGAGTCAGCAAGAACGTTGTGAGCTGTGGTGGTAGGATGGGCCGGAGAGAAAATGGTGAGAAAATGAAGAGGGAGAGTCCCAGGCAGGGAATGCAATGAGTTGGTTATCTTGAGATCTGTGATTCATTGTGGGGAATGTGCACTACCTACACATATTAGAGTACTGTAGGGAAGAAATCAGGCCGAGGAAATTCCGAACTCTTTCAACAGAATTTATGAGCTTTAATAATCTAACGGCTCAGGGTCGCCTAAGAGCCCAGGAACTGCTTGGCTTACAAGTATGAGTGGCTCTAAGGAGACAGATGACAAACACAGCATCTGCAGGAGGGTAGTTACAGTCCTCGGCATAGGAGCCGTAAGAATCACAAACAACTTCACTAGCACAAAGCAGTTTCCCATCAACATCTCACCAAGAAAAGCCTTTATTGCAGCCCTTTGTCTAAAGCAAAGTATAAAAGCATAGCTTTCCTCCCAGCACACCTAGAGAGCAGACAAGTTTTGATGGCAATTTTCAGCTACCACAATAAGATGTGGGTAGTATAGGCTTTCAAAAGTACATGGTGCCTCTTGCTCTGGTAAAACATCACTAGACCTATATCTGTCCTTAAGGTATCCTGGCAGAAGGGAAGCCGGGGGACTAGTCCACTTCTTGGGTGAGCAAGTGGATCTAAGAAATGACAGAGAGGGGAAAAAAAAAGAATAAGCTCGAGAGGAATCCCCATTTACCTTCTAGAAATCCTGCCATAGCAGTATTAAGAATAGCAGTAAACCACTGTTATGGAGTTGTAGGCTTGGTTTAACACTCAAAAGCAACACCAGTATATTTTAGAGACGACTATCATTCCAGCTGTAAGTAGACAGAGAACAATCATACAGACTGTGAGGTATGTCAATTCAGCTATTTATTTCATGTAATGACGAGTCTGGGTCTTGGTTACGTTCAGCACATCTCTCTTCTGTGTTTCAGTCAGGGCACATGGATGCAACTCACTGCATTGCCTGTTAAATAAGCAGTGCCATTGTGTAGATCAGATACCATATGAAAACTTAGAGACTGAAGTTGGCAAATGATTTGGAGGTGAAGAAAAGAAGACTTGCCAATCAGCCCCTGTAACCCAGAGTACTCACCAACTGCCAATTTCTCCCTTTGAAATTCCCCTGAGCATGTTGCCCTTAATTTTTGCTTCTAGAAACATCTAGTCTTCTCTAAAATGCATGTTTGGAACATAACAGATTAAGAGAAGGCTCCCATTGACATCAGGCCCAGATCTACCTTGCAGGTATTTTTCACAAATAACTTGATACCATATTAGTATGTCGGTATTCTTCAACCAGATACCATTTTTCAGTTTTTCTTTAAATTTTTTTAAGAATAATGTTTAACTTCTCCCATCAGACTCTCTAGAAGGGATCCTGGCCACAACATCTGTGTAAGTTGGATGAGTTGCTTTCCAGCAGCCCACCCTACCTCACTGCAGTATGCTCTGAGGCTGACACTGGCCAGGAAGCCACAGCACTGGCCTCCAATGAGCAGAACACAGACACGTTAACCCTGAGACTTCAAGATTTCCTGCTGCCCCCAATGCCTAAATGTTGACTTGCGTTTGAACTATAATATAAAGGAAGCCAATGGGGACCTCCCAGAGAGAGTGGCACTGGCCTGGACTTCTGTACAGCTGCTCCCACCTCAGACCTCCTGTGGATGCAACTGCAAGGCTGTGTTGGTAACTCAGGACCATAAACATGAAGTGACGGGGTTCAGTACATCACTATAAATAGGCTCAGAAATTATTGCTCTTTCAGGATCCCCAATCCAAAGTCTATTTGTAGAAGGTTGGGTTTTATCTTTGCTAAGGTGACTCCCACTCAAATTAATAGAGATTATTGTCTGAATCTAAACAGGGTAAAAACAGTATAATGGCTTCAGGATGTGGCCACCAGTACTGTGGATAGTCACATCTTAAACACTGTTGTACTGGGAGTAATTAAAACAGAAGTCTACAAAAAATATGTCTTACCTAAACAGGGATGAACATGCCAGATCACAGACTAATTCTCAAAATCTGTAATCTATACACAAATTGGTGTATAAAGGTTGGAATTGCACTAAAGGTAAAGAAAAGAAAGGCTAGTTCTTATTCTATTAAATTGTGACCATCTGTGCTTATCCCCCTCAACCCCCAGCTTTATTAACCTGTTCAGTTAGAGAAGCGGCAAACAACAAATGTTGGTCATGAACGCTGCTCAAGGGGAGATGAGGAGACCCTGCACAACAGAGGGTGTTAAGAGCATGACATAATTTGCTGGCAGATCAGTTCCCCTCACAGTCTATGTGAGATGAAGTAGTTGCCCCCTTTAAGGCCACATCGTGCTTTATGTGCAAAACAGTGTGCAGATGTGCCAAAAAACAGGAGCAACCTGAAAAAAACCAAACCAAAACAAAAACTACAACCTGTGCTAAATCATGCTTTCCAAAACCAGCCCTTTGCAAACTACTGGAGGCAATATATCTGACAGCCTCTTTTTACAGCTTATGTATCATCACGTTAGTTTTGTTTACGCTCAGTAACAATGACCAGAAAAGGCACAGACGGAACCATAATTTAGCATAGTCACTGTGAGTCTACTTTAGACTGTCCCACCCAAAAACCCCAACAGTAGCAGCAGTCCTATAGTAAGCAGAGAATAATTCCTGCTGTGTGTCATTTGAAAACCCTCTCAAG